ATAAGATGGCTAGGCCTTAATCACCGCCAACAGTATTTAACTCTTGTCGGACAGTTTTTCCTCCTACATGGGAGAATTGGAGCCCGCGTAAGAGGGTCAGGCCTTGATAAGAGCTGATGGTATTCAAATCTTATCAGATAGGTTTTCCTTTTATAGGGGAGAACTAAAGCATGCGTAAGAGGGTCGGACCTTGATCGCAGTTGATGGTATTCAATTCTTATAGGATAGTTTTTCCTCAAACAGTTGAGAAGTGGAGCCTATATAAGAGGGTCGGGCCTTGAATGCCGCCCATGATATTCAACTCTTGTTGAACTATTTTTTATCATATGGGGGAGAACTAGAGTATGCGTAAGATATCTAGGCCTTAATTGCCGTTAATGATATTCAGCTCTTACGAGACAGATTTTCTCCTATGAGGGGGAATCATATACTTCAAATGTTCGCTCGAGCCATGATCGCCACCAATAGTATTTAACTCTTGCGGGATAGTTTTTCCTCATATGGGGGAGAATTGGAGACTCGTAAGAGGGTTGGGTCTTGATCGCAACTAATGGTATTCAACTCTTGTTAATAGATACCCCGTATAAGGGAGAGGCCGACTTTGACTGCCATTGAAAGCCTCCTAATTTTTGTCGGTCCTTTTTTCCTCAATTTTTGAAAAAAGGTTTGGACCAACTTAGGAGAATTGTGCCCTCTCCTTAACCCCTAAGGGGAGTATTTATAGATTCATTAAGGAAAATTAGGTTTTTTTTAGAATTTTTTTTTGGAATTTGTTATCTAAAAATAGTAATTTTTTTAGTATTTATAGAGAATAATTTATGGGTCGTCTAGTGGAGCATTATGAATTTATCCTGAATCTTCTCGATATTTATGAAGCATACTACTCTCAAAATATATAAATATACCCTCTCTTCACACATGAAGGAGGGGTTGGACTTTATGAGGCTTAGACCCTGAGTTAGAGACTCAAGAGAGCTTTGAGGCTTAAAGTATCCCAGAGCTCCACCCCAGCACCACCACCAGTCTGTTCTGTTGGACCTATGCCTGACCATCATCTTCAAACCTTCGTCTAGCATCCATCATCATGCCTTTGTCCAACCTTCATTACCCACTGACTACAGTCCCTCCAACCACTATCACCTGCCAACTGTGATCCATTCAACCTCTTATCCCCGGCCGATTATAGTCCATTTAACCTTTGTTACCGACGAACTACATTCCCTATGACCTATGTTGCTGGCTGACTAGGGTCCTTGACCTCCATCTATGATAAACTACAATCCCTATGACAATTGCTGCCTACCGACTACAGTCCCTTCGACCTCCATCTCTTGCCAACTACGATCCTTTCGGCATTCATTGCCCACCAACTATGGTCCCTCCATCCTCTGTCTCCCTCAAACTATAGTTCCTCCGGCCACCATTGCTTGTCGATTACGGTTCATTCAACCACCGTTGCACATCTATTATGGTCCCTCCGACCTATGTTGACAACCAATTACGGTCCCTACGACCTCCGTCACCTGCCGACTACAGTCCCTCTGACCATTGTTACACGTTGACTACGGTCCGTTGGACCACGTCGCTCGCTGATTATGATCCTTCTGAGCACCGTCACCCCTTTCTATGATCCCTTTGATCATTATTGCCCGTTGACTATGGTATCTCCAACCACCATCATCCGTCAACTATATTCCCTCTAACCTCTATCACCCAACAACGGTCCCCTTAACCTCTATTGCCTGGCTATGACCCTTTCGACCTCCATTATCCGACTATAATCTAACTGACCAAACAGACATACCAACATTCTTTTGAGAATAACTCTTATATCACTAGATGTTTTCAACTCCCACCATGTAATGTGCTCTATTTGATGTATATTTACTACATTGAGGTGTGATCTTCCCCTGATGAAGAACAACACGTGTAACTGTCTACAAACACTAAAAAAAAATATTTTAACAAGGCCAAGCCCCGTTCTTTTTTTCTTTTTAGGATTTTTCACATAAAAAATCTTAATATCTCTTATGACTCGTGCACCCCTCTCTCTTAATTATATGTGTGTTTAATATTCGTATAAAACTTGAATGCTAAACCCTACATCTCTCTACTGCCCGAATGTTCCCGCACGCAATAAAAATACTTTGATAAAAAAATATTTTGAAGCATACTTAAAGACATAATAAAAAAAAAATATATTAATTTAAATATATGAATTACGTAGATAATAAATTAATATTCCACTTAAGATCAACTCTTTGCATGAAAAAAAAAAAAAAAAAAAACTCTTTGCGTCGTATCATTATATAGCTTTATTTTAACTGAAAGTGTTTGGGTCGAAACTTCCAACTCACATGCTACCTTTATGAGTCTTGAATCAGCAATTTAAGTATTTTCACGTTGTCGTGATATTTGACTGGTTTCATATACAAAGTAGCATTCGGCCAATCACCTTTTGAGGATCTAAATCCGGACGTTTCAGACCATACGTATGGAACTAATGTCAATACGATTCTAATTTTTAGGCCATATGGTGGGGAGAAATTTTTATTATAATAGATTTTAACAACTTTTAGATTTATATTAAAATAAATATAATAAATGAATTATCAATTAAATATTATCCTTTATTTATTTTTAAATAAATTTTAAAATTTATTATGATTGAATTTTGCTCAGGATCTATTTGGGATAGGTTTCTTCATATTTTTCTTTTTAGATCTTAATCATAATTATATTTTGCTACTATTTTTTTAATTTTTTCAATGCTTTGTAAAAATTTCTATGATGATGTGTAGTAGCTTTAAAAAGTAGATATTTGATTTAAAGCAGTTTTTATAAAAGCTATTTTTCTTATAACATTTTTATAATCACTATTATAAAATATTACATTCGTCCAAAAAGACACTTAATATTAGGCGATTTTTTTCATCTTTTGACATTAAGATCCCAAGCTTGTATAGCCGTGATCCAACTTTCAGCTTTGAAGGTTGTCCAATTAAGATAAACTCACACACACATGATATACTCAAGACTCGAACCTAAGGCCTTTTGATTGGTTGCCAAAGCTCCTAACCAACAGACTAAAACGAGCTACATATGGGTGTAAGTTTAAATCAAATAAATGAATAATCATTTTAATTGATTTAATTTCAAATTATATGTATATAACTCAATTGCCTCTACTTAAATTTAGATTTGAATTTTGAAAATTGAATAAATTGTATATTTTGTATTATCTAATAAAAATAACATCGTACTTTGTAATTTTAAAATTTTTGTTATTTTATCTCGATATTATGATGCATAGTAAAGTTAGAAATTTTTTGAATTAAAATTAAGACTATTAGAACTCTGATTTTTAGCAAACTTATAATCAAACTGAATTTATTGATCAAATAAATCCGACAATACCAAAAGTGATATGATCCAATTTTAAATGTGCCCAAATTAAACACTTGAAGCACAACTAAAAATTTAATGATATTAATTAAAGTATAAATGATTTCCAAATATTATATGCTGATGGTTAAATCGAACGTATTGACAAGATGAATCCAATGGGTAGGGGTGTCGAAATTTGATTTTGGGTCAGTTTCAGGTCCAATCTGAAACTAACCGCCTTCAATTGACCCAACCCGATTAGCTAAATGAATCACAAACCCAGACAAGAACCTAACCCGCCTCTAACTTGTTTCAACCCAACATGACCCGCTAACTTAGTTGGAGTGAGATGAGTGGTTGAGAGTAGGCGGTTGAGTGAGCAAGCGAGTGCAATTAGGCTAGCAAGCGAGCGTGAGTGCATGTAGCGCCAAATGAGAGCTAGTGTGATGGAGTTTTGGGTTTTCAGGTTGACCTGGATTGGAATTGAAATTGCAATTGTATCAGAATATGAAAATCAAACTCAACCCACTTTCCAAACAGGTTAATCATGACCCGAAATTTTTGGGCCGGATTTGTGTTATGTTTTAAAGTTGTATCGAATATTGACACCCCCTACCAATGGCCCCAAGTTCATTCAATTATGCCATCATTACTCTAGTTAAATATTAAATGAACTATTTATTATAAAATGATTTAACATAAGTTGTCTGATGGAGTATTATAGAATTTTGATTAAATTTATTAAAATGTCAGCCTAAGCATTTATATAAAAAAACCCTTTGTCTTATGAGGGGAGGATCTTTGATGAGTTTGGAGAGAGTTTAAACATTTGAAGAATTTTAAAGTCTTATATGACATTTAGCATTCATAATCATCATTAGCCATTGTTACCCTCCAATTGCTATAGCTCGATAGTTGTCACCTAAGCATTATCATCTGACCAGTACTGCTTTGTTATTAATGTTCATTCATCATCATTCAACCACCATTATCGGTCATTACTGTCTGTCCACCATTGCTCAACCACCATCGTATGGCCATCATCATTTGATAAATATTATACTAACTTTGTCATTATCCCTCTATCATTTGTTCATCAAGCTCTATTATAATTATAGAAAATCAAATTTGAGTTCATTACTTTGTAATCTTATCTCCTCAAATCGAGAGGAAACAAATACCTCCATAATTTTGCAAATATAGTAAATCATTTTATCCTGGCTAAAATAACTGTTTTTTTCTTGTTCTATGGATTTTTCATTTAAGAATTTTAGTGCCTCTTGCTCCTCTCTTTTATTTGTATATATTTAAGATTTTCGTCCAATGCTAAGATGTAAATTATCTTTTTATCACTTTGAATTTTCCAGCATACAACCATCCCTCAATTTAAAATTGAATATGATTAGAAAATAGAATTAAATTAAATTTAGCTATTCTGATTTTATTTTTAGATAATTATATTTAATAATTAACATTTATAAATAAAATTGATTTTAAATAATAATAATAATAAATAATAAATAATAAATTAAAATTAAATGTAATGATGTAATGATCTTCCAACAGCCTCGTTTGCCGTCTCAGCTCCACTTGCCCATCCACACTCGAAAGAACTAACAATTTGCGCACAAAATAGGATATTTTCCCAAAGCATCTCACCAAAACATTGCCTTTCTCACCCATGGGGAGAAAAATAGGGCAAAATCGGAAAACAGCCACGCAAATATCTTCCTAGTTTCGACATAAATCTAACCGGTGATCGACTTCTTTCCCTGGTCATCTGCTGGCTGTGCCTCATCTTCTTCAGCTTGCTAATTCTCTTCGAGGTCTTTCATGGGTTGAAATCCCTGGTTAGAATTTGACGAGGCGGAAGCTCTATATGGAGTGGGACAGCGATCTAGAGGATCCTAGCAGCGCTGAGGACGAGGCAGAGGAAGAGGTTGTGGGGGCTACGTTTCTACTGAACGGAGGCGGCGGGCTGTTTTCAGCCGCAGTCGAGAGCGCGCTCGGGTCGGCGCCGCCGTCGTACGGGTTGGTGGTGTCAGACGCGCTTGAGCCCGATCACCCGATAATCTACGTCAACGAAGGATTCGAGAGGGCAACGGGCTACCTCGCTGAGGAGGTCCTCGGCAGGAACTGGTTAGGTTTTCGCTCCTGTCTGTTGTATGTGATTTGATTTTTTTTTTCTTCTAGGAGAATAGGAGAGAGAGTAATCCCACCATGCCATCCTTAACATTACGTGTTCTTTTTTGCTACTTTAGTAGAATTCAATTTCTCTATTCCTCCAACCGCGTATAGTCTTAATTTCTGTTCTTTAGTATTCTGAAACTTTTGATGGGATACTTTAATACTCAAAAAGTTGAAATTGGCGTTGATTTTACTTTATTTAGAGCTTCTAGAAATCTCCTTGTAGTTTAAGAAAGTCCTTTTATATGCATGCAGTTTATGTTGGTGGTTAATTTTAAATGTTGATGGCTACATTGGGAAAACGTGGAGTAGCTATCTTTGTTGTGAGAGAACACTGTTGTTCTGTCAGTATGAAGCAGAATGCGCTGTTGAAGTTGAACTCATCCGGCCTGAACAAGAAAATTAGGAGTTACAATAAGTTAGTTAATAATTATACTACAATTATGGGAATAATTCAGATGTGACCACCTTTATCCTATACGCTCAGTTGGTGAAATACTAGCCTTTTTGTAGATATTGTATGTCTAATTAACTAAGCATAATGGTGATTTTTGCTATTGAATCTTCATTTGTAAAGATTAGAATTTATTTATTTATATATTTTACACAAAATCTACTATGTGACCGGTGACAACCAGCTAGAAACTTCTTTATTTTATCCTTTGGTGCTGTTTGCGTCAAACAAAAAAAGAATTTGGTAATGGAGTGATGCATAATGATTAAGCCCTTGATCTACCCTAGCTTTGCTTTTGAAGAGAGGAATAGAGAAACAATCAAGAGCTAGAGGAATAGAAGGTGATCAGGGTTAGAGAGAGATAGAGTCAGGATTAAGAAAACTAGAAAGAAAGGAAGGATGTCTAACAAAAGAGAAATTTGGGTTTATATAGAAGCCATGCCTTTATTTATTATATTATTATATGAATAAGGGATCCATTATATAGACTAGGGTTCTTATACAAAATGCTATGAATACCAATAATAAAAATACATAAAGATGATCATAACTCATGACACAACTAGACCCTAGCCATTTTAAGTAGTGACACATAGTAAACTTTGACATAGACTAAACAATGGTATAAATTAAGCATGCCATGGACTAAACATAAAGTTTAAAGTAGTAATGATTCTACATAACTTGATTTTTAATTATGTTATTAGATCTGCATTTTTATATTTTACTTAGAGCTTTTTGTAAGGGTGGAATGAATTAGTTAGTTAAATAGCCCAATGACAGGCAATAAAGATTTCTACAGAATATCTAATTTACCATGTGAAATTGACATATTTGACTATGTATGAAAGACTTTGTTATTTGCTTTAATTTGTTTATATACTTTTAATGAACCAATTGATACCAATATCTACTCAATGATAAGTTGTTCTGACAAATAAAAACCTTTACCATGCTTTCTATGGTGGAAACTCCAAAACATGATTCTTGCTAATGGTGGAAAAGCTTTTAAATTGTTAGTTATCATCATCATTTTAATTGTTCCTTATCCCAACTTCTTAGGGTTAGCTTTATGAATGCTCATTCTCCACTCATTCCTAGCGTGTCTTGTTTTTGTTAAATCTTTAATGCTAGATGTTGTTCACATAACTTCTATCCATGTTATCTTTTGTCTGCTTCATTTCCTCCTATTTGCTTCATTTTCTTCTTAACCTTCAAAAATGTTTTTCTTGATCTTTTGTATTGGTCCATTTTCTATCCTTTATATTGCATGCCTAGACTGCCTAAATCTATTTTTCATCACTTCTTCTTCAATAGGTGCTACTCTTGAAATCCTCTCCCCTTACATTTGTTTCTTGATATAAGCAGGGGGGTCACAACAAAATGAATACTTTGTTCTTTGGGCTGCTTGTTGTCGCACGGTTTGGTCCTTGGCTGTTTTGGTTTTGAGCTGAAATTTTGGGAATTAAGTTGTTCTAGCTCATAAATGCTTGGTTTCTTCTCAAGTCAGCTCATTAACGAGCTTCTACTATTTTATCAGCTCATTAATGCAATTAGTTAGATTCATTTCCCCTTACTTTGGCTCCTTGGTTTCCACCTCCTTGGTTCTTCCCCCCATGGCCGGTTCTCTTCCCCTTTCCCTTTGCCTTTTTGGTTTTTGTTGGCTGTTGCTGTTCCCCTGGTTATCCCTCTCGGTTTTCCCTTCCTGGATGCTTTTCCCGTGAAATTTTGCCTTGTCTCCTGTGCTGGCTCTTCAGGTCCCTTGCTGGCTGGATTCCCGTTGCTGCTGGAGGGGTTTTCCGTGGGCTGCTTCCCTGTTTTTCTGTGCAGAATTCCTGCTGCTGTTTTGCTGTCTTTTGGCCTTTCATTTGGTGACTTTTGGCCTTTCATTTCCCCAAATTTGATTGGATTTGGTTGGAGGTGTTTTGGCTGTTTATCTACCTTCTTTTGCCTATAAAATAGAGTTGTTTTGGGTAAAAAAAGAGATATAATGTGATTTTTAGAAGCCAAAACCTGTGGGTTTCTTCGTGGAAAAGCTTGAGAGCTTGTTCCATTCCTCTCTCCTCCTAGGAAAGCTTGCGAGCTTGTCCTCCTCTTCCGTCTCGGCTTCTAACCTACTTCTTCTATTTGCAAGTTCGACGTCACCTGTATCTTTCATCTCAAGGAATGCAAGTTTAGGGTTTTATGTCAAAAATTTGTAAGCATCATTTGTAAGCGTCTTTCTATTCTAAAGTGAAGTTGTTTTTTGGTTCAATTGTCGTATTTTGTATCCTTTTTGGGAAATTTGTGTATTTTCTTTTATCTAGGAAGATTGACTATTTGCTCGCAAAAATTTGGGGCCCTTCCCAAATTTTTGCTTGCATCATTTCTTAATCAATCATTCTTAGTATTGCCACACATGTATGTTAACATTCTCATTTGTCTCACTCAACATAAATATTGGTGATTTTTTTTTTCACCTAACGCTTTGATCCATATAATAGAGTTTATCTCATTCCAAGTTTGTACCATTTATCTTTAAGCCTTCATAATATTTTTTTTATTGCATAATCCTCTTAAGGTACTGATACAAAGTAGAAGAACTTTCAACCAAATCTGCGAACCATAAGAGAAATTATGAAGAAGAACAAGCCACAAATCTTTTTTATTTTAGAAAATATAAAATAGAACAAACAAAATATAATAGATCTTCAATTGGAGAGGAATATCCGACTCTCCAAAATCACTAGCCAGTGGCAAGAGCCCTCACAATCTAAGAACAACCTAAATTCAACAAACACATAACATATCCTAACCCTAGGGTAAATCAACTTTTTAAAACAAACAATAAACAATATAATACCAAAACAGCCCTCCACTAATTCCCTCCTATATCAGCCCTAAATCTGTCATATTTTCTTGTTAATTTTCTTTCCAAATCAGCCTCCAAATTTGTCTTCCTCAATTAGGAAATAATTCATAATTAATCCCCTCCAAATAAACCCTCTTCAAGTTGGAAACATTTTCTAATTAACCTCCTCCAAATCAGCTCCTAAATATGTCTTCTTCAATTAAGAAACATCTCCTAATTAATTCCATCTAAATCAGACTCTTTCCCTTAATAAAATCTTTTTAATTCCCTCCAAAATCTATTCAAATCAGCTATCTTTTCCTAAATAAAATTTCCTAATTATTTCTCGCATTTTTGTCCTCCTTACATAGTGAATATTAACTCCTCTGGGCCTCACAAGGCTGCCCCCCCTGTCATCAATCATTCATATCTTCAACTGTCTCACCCTAGAATTGCTGCCGCCTGATAGCTTATTCATCCACTAGCGTAGCAGTTGTCGTAATCCCTCCATGTTTCCCCTGTGTATCGAGGGTGGGAATTCCACATTTCTTCCCTTTGCCTCACATGACTTGATCCCCATGGTTTGGCCTTCCCCCCTCCTTCGGCCGTCACTCCCCTTACCCAAAAGATCTCCCATTATGGTCGGCCGCCCCACCACATTCACCACAAATCTCCTTTCCTGCTGTCCCCCCATCCGAAAACCCTATTACGTCCCTTATTGGAGCCATAGGAGGTGGCTTTTGACCCTCTCCTTCAACGGCCCACTCCCCTTACCTCAAATGTCTTCCATAGTGGTCAGCCACCCATCACCTCCACCAAAAATTTCCTCATTATTGTCCCCTCATCTTGAAACCCTGATTCACTCCTTATCGGAGCCTCAGGAGGTGGCTCTTCATGAAAAAATGGAGGTGGTTCTTGATGAAAGAAACTATCCTCATTGAAGTCCTCCCGTTCGATCTCCTTTACCTTTGATTTGGCCAAGGGATTCTCGGTTAGATCTTGGTTAGAGTTAGCCATCGGAACTGTCGGTGAAGTTTTGATTGCATCTTTAAGAGTTTCCTCATCATCTCCTCCATCCCTCCCAATCGATTTTTCATGGATGAAAGCCTTCCTTCCATGTATGAAAACCTTCCTTCCATGGTCGAAAATTTCTCCTTAATGCGTGATTTGAATTGCTTCATTTTCCTTCCAACTCATTCACCCTCTTTGACACCATCTCTCCAAAACCTCACTCTGATACCAATTTAATACAAAGTAGAAGAACTTTCAACCAAATCAGCGAATCACAAGAGAAATTGGGAAGAAGAACACACCACAAATCTTTTTTATTTTAGAAAATATAAAATAGAACAAACAAAATACAATAGATCTTCAACTGGAAAGGAAGATCCGACTCTCCCAAATCTCTAGCCGGTGGCTAGAGCTCTCACAACCTAAGAACAAACTAAATTCAACAAATACATAACATATCCTAACCCTAGGGTAATTCAACTATTTAATGCAAACAATAAACAATATAATACCAAAACAGCCCTCCACTAATTCCCTCCCATATCAGCCCTAAATATACCATATTTCCTTAATTATTTCTCTCCCAAATCAGCCCCCAATTTTGTCTTTTTCAATTAGAAAACAATTCCAAATTAATCCCCTCCAAATCAGACCTCT